TCATACAGAAATTCTTGGTTGTTATTTTCTAAAAAAAAATAACCTTAAATCCCCTAATTTATCTAAATCCATGATAATGATTCATTCAGTTCAACATTTACTCTTCTAATTTCGATTGGGTGTTTGTCGGCTTAGTCGATCTATTGCTTATTGCATTACTATTATTTTATTTATGTTTTTAGTTCATTTAGATGTTATTTAGTTAGTTTTTTTAGTACCTTTCTTGATTGGGTATTATATTAGAATGAAGTAATTTTTTTTAATTAAAAAATTTAAAAAAAATAAAAATAGTTAAAAGGGCCTAAAGCCTGAGGGCCAACCCTGAGCCCGCTATGTCAAGAGCCGGGTTTTGAATATCAAGATCTTAAAAGAAACTCAGACTTAAAAAGGCTGACCCTTTTAGGCCTGAGCCTTTCAAGGGCCAGCCCTACAGGGTCGGTTGGCCTTTTTTGCCAGCTCTAGTTTCTCATAATTAGTTTTCTGATTTTGTTGATAGATTTAGCAACAGGGTGATTTGCAGAGAACTCATTATGAATTAGGGTAAGTGCTTCTATAGAATTTAAGTAGACGTTGACTTTATCAAACTTTTTAGTCCGACAAATGTTAAGACCTTCAAGAATGCCTATGAGTTCAGCAGCTATACTAAGGTGATAATCCAGATATTTGAAGAAGCCCTTGATCTAATTTCCTTAATAATCTCAAATGAGTCCACCACAGGTAGCCGCAACTTGAATGTTAATGGAACCATCTATGTCAAGTCTAACCCATCATTTTTCAGGCAGACACCATTTTACATTTGATCTATCACCTGTAGGGACAAACAATCGATTCTTTATTGAAGGTTGAGATCACTAAGTATATCTTGGGTGCTGGTGAATGTAATGTCTCTATCATATGTATTTTTTTCAGAGTAGATGTTTTTGCATCTTTCCTTCCAAATGTTCCAGCATATATAGGCAAAAAGTCTTTGTCAAGAAGTATTTTTTGCATTTGAATTGCCTGCATCTTTCTTTACATTCCAAAGTATCCATTCTGTAGGGTGAGAGAAAAGAAATTATTTAGTTTAGATTGTTAAACTAATTTCAACCAAACCTTTTTAGATTTATTACAGTCTTGAAAGATATGAATGGATGAATCTAAAGATCTATAGCTAAAAGGGCATGTCCTAAGGCAAGGATTGACTCCATTAGAGTAGGTGAATTTAAATTGGAGACGATCCCAAGCCGTTTTCCAAAGGAAAGATTTACTCTTCTCATAAGTGAGCTGCTTCAAAATCTTAGATCAAATCTCAAATCTTGTATTATTTTTATGACTTTCAATAGCCTTATAAGCTGATTTGATGGTGAAGCAACCATTAGTAGAAGGTCTCTAACAAATGACATCACCATCAACATTATGAATTGGAAGTTGAACAATAGGGATGAATTTGATGACATTGGAGTGAAGATATCTGCATGGTTGAGTTACTTTTCAATTGCCAATTGCAGAATAGAAATAGAAACCTTAGTATAAAGAATAGAATCAGCATTGGGTGATGCATACTTAAGATCCCTTACCTACTTGAAAGACACTGTGGAGGGTGAGGGAAGGAGAGAAAGGGGTGTAGTTGTGTGGTTGGGTAGTTAGTTGCAAGGTAAGGTGGGGAATGCCGTTTTATCAGGGGAACGACAAGATGCTATGAATTAAATCCCATCTCCCTCCGTGCTCCCTCCCTCACGCCTCTTCGGCTTTCCAATGTTCCCAATTATTACCCCTTCCTCCCTCCATTTCTTTTTTCTTTTTTCGTTTTTATTTTCACAATTCTATTTTAATTTACTCTTGCTTTCATCCCTTCATATTTTCATTACACCATCCCTATCTATAGACTCTCTCCATTTTTAAATATAACTAAATTTTAATAATTATGTTTGCAATTTAAAAAAAATTTAAATTAAAATATTCTTATAATTAATTCTTCATTTCCCCTTTATTTAATGATATTATCATTTGGACAGTTAAAAAAAATTCTAAATAACTTTTTTTAATTGTTGTTTGGCTTGTGATAAAATTAGAAACTATGTGAAAGTTTTGCTTATATTTAAAAACGATGTGCTCCCTCGGATCTCTATTATAAAGTGCATTTTAGTTAAAAAAATTCAGTCTTTAATATAATGCATTTGATGGGTATTATTCATGTTTCTTTTAATATTATTCTAATTTAAACTTATTAACTAAGAGAAGGAATGTAATGTACTTCCTTCAATCCAAATTATAAGTACATTTTAATAATAATCTATATACTAATAAAATCCTTATTTTCATATGTGTGTGTGTGTTATTGTTTTCATTTTTTCATCTTTAGTTCTAGTCTATGATGTGTGAGAAGAATGATATAAATTCTCATGTATAAAAATCTTAGTTAATAAATATAAGAGGTAAATGAGATTTTTTTTTTACGAATGTTAAATTACTTATAATTTTGACCAATATTAGCTGGAAGGAAATGTTTATATTTTAGTCTAGATAGAGTAAATTTGATAAGTTTTCATTTAAATAAGAAAAAAATTTGGATTTTATAATATTTTAAAAAAATAGTAATAATTTAAGCACTTTTCCTTGATTGTAATAAAGTAGTTAGATGTGTCTTGCAATAAAAATACAATGGAGTACTCCCTCCGTTCAAAAAATATAATATATTTTTAATTGAATTTTTTCTATAATAAAATAGTTAATTGTCTTTAAATCAACACCATTTTTTCACTTTTATATTTATTTAAAAAGATATTTTACTTTAAAATAAATATAAAATAATTTATTTATTAAGAGCACTTTTGAAAAAATACAGTGATTATATCTTAAAAATACTAAAAATATTTTACATTTTTGATATCCAACTCTTTAAAAAATATTTAGAAAAATATAACTTTGGGTTGCTGCACTTGTTTTTAATTTTACTATAAATTCTTGTACTTTTTTTATATTTTATGTCCCTATATTTTTTAAATATTCTAGATTCTTATAATACTAAGAGATTTAGAACATTAAAAAAATTATAAGAATCTAGAACATAAAAATATAAAAACTTATAATAAAATGTGAGAAAAGTATTTGAATTTAAAGATATGTTCTTTTAAAATATTTTATATTTTTAAATGTATGGGGTATTATTTATGACTCATGCTAATAAAGTTAATTCATTGCCATTTAATCCCCGGAAGCCCACTGTGCTTTGCTTGATTCATGCTTGCTATCAATGGTAAATAAATAAATAAAAACCTCGCAGACAAGATATGGTCGGATCTGAAAATTTGTCGCCTTCTTTGTGGTTCATCCCAAGAATGTTCACTTTTTGTCCCAACAGGCAACAACCCCTCTCCTCCCTCGCTGGATGTGTGGTATTGTGCCTCCGCTTTCTTTCCCAGCATCATCATCATCATCATCTCATTTATTCATTTCAAGGCTTTTTCAAGCTTACTAAATGCTTGACGAGAAAAATTCTGGAAATCCTGAGTTGTATTTTGTCCTTCCTATGCCTGGATATTCTCTCGTCTCTGTTTTCCTCTAGCTCTCATTTGAAGATTTTTTTTTTTTTTTTACTTTTACACCCGATATCTTAAAGCATTTGGATATACTGGCGAGGACTCAAATATGAAACTCTACGTTAAGCTGTCACAAGTTTCGACCACTTGGACAAGCACCTTTTGGTAAAAATTTAGCCTTTTCTATTAAACAGACTATCAATTGTTCTATTCTTATTTTATCTTTTTATAATTTTCTGTAGGTAAGGCAAAATATTGTTTATAAAAAAGAGTGTATTTTTTTAAAAAGATGATGCATTTTATGCAGGTAAAATGATATTTTAGATAATATCATAAATTTAATTATATTTCCTTAATTTTGATACAGAAGTTACAAATTACTTACTCTCTCTACCAAAGTGAAATGTAAACATTGATATTCTTTATGTTCAAAAATATAAGAAATTTTTTCATGTAAGATATTGAAAAATATAAAATGTAAAATATTTTGGATTTTTAAAGGTGTAATCAATGATTTTTTAAATATTCTTAATTAGGGTGTAATTAATAAGGTATTTTTTAAATTAAAACATCTTATTAAATATGAAAACATGGAAAGACAATGAAATTTTAAAGACAATTAACTGACTCATTGAGTAATTTAGTTTAAAATACTCCATCCATTCTTATATACAAGAAATTTTTTACAACATTTTTTATTTTCAAATATAAAATATTGTTAACATATTTTTTAATAAATAGACTATCATATCTTGAAAGGAAAAAATATAAGTACTCATTAATTTATTTTTAAAAAAAGAGATTCATTTTTATTTACAATAATTAGAAGCAAAACTAAAATAATGCTATAGTTTCAAATAGATAACTAATTTCTATTAATTTATGTAATTTGATTAAAAATATTTTATATAAAAAGACCAAGGAAATATTATAATATTGAATGAAATGAGTAATTACTTCGCTGTTCTAAAAAAAATAGTTGAAACTTTAATCACTTGAAATTTTTAATATCTTTCTAATTATATTATCATTAAATTAAATATTTTGTATAAGTGTTTTATGAAATTTTAATACCTATTTTTTCAAAACAAAATAATAAATGAGGTAGCATATAGTTGGAGTGTCGGACCAAACAAACCTCTAGAAAGAGCCCAAAATATTATATATATATATATATATATATATATATATATATTTGTTAACCTCCGTCATAAACTCATGATACCCGCCATCTGGCGTGGCATGAACTGGCATTGGGGATGGCCTGTGTCTAACTCGGGGTTTCTGGCCTCCTTCACTTTTCCCGGTCGGCACTAAAGTGTATTGCTCAACTGGCACCTGGGAACACTGTGTAAAAGGTTGCCGGGGGATTGCTCCGCCACTTGTCGGTGAAAACTCCACGCTATTATATTTTATTTCCATTTTAAATAAACTATTACATGTGGTCTCTAATTTATTATTTATTCTCTATATTCTTTTCTACAAATGATGTTGTAGTCAAGCTCATAGACACCTTCGCTCATATTAGGATCCATGTCTCAGATTATTCCACATATAGAAGAAGAGATGGCTTCCTCTGTTTTCTTTTTTCTCTTGTATTAAAAAACTTTTACAAAAATTGGCTTCCTTTTTTGCCTTTTTTTTTTTTTCAATTTCTGTATTTTGTTTGAGAGAGAGGAAGAGAGTTGGCTATAGGAAGGTCCAAGAAGGTTCTTTTCTCTGGCAACAAAACTAGCTTCTTCAGTTCAAGCTCTCAGGACCATTTTCATAAGACAACAGTGCATTATTCTGCTCTTTAGCTGTGTGTTCTCTTTTTCGAACTCCCAGTTGAGACCTTTTGATTGTGCCATTTTCATGTCTAGACTACAAGAACATGATTACATAGGCTTAGCAGAGACCCGTTCCATGGAAATCTCTGAAAAGAGTTCTGGTCTCAACTTGAACTTGAAGGAGACAGAGCTCAGACTTGGGCTTCCTGGTTGTGAGTCTCCAGAAAGAAAGTCAACAAGTGTGGTATCTCTGTTTGGGAAGGATTTGAGGAACGTTATTTCTGGGTCTAAGAGAGGCTTCTCTGATGCTATAAAAGATGGGTCCTCCAGGAAATGGGTTTTCTCTGCTAGTGATGATGGATCTGACTCCATTCTTGGTTCAGAAGGTAAAAGAAATAATGCCCACAAGCCTTCTTCTCAATCTGCCAAACCAAGCCATTATAAGAAGCCTGAGGTTTCTGCAACAAACGAGCACGCTAGTCCTCCTTCTGCAAAGTAAGTCTTTTGATTTATTGCTGATTGAAGTCTTGAGATTTTAGAGTCTTGGGCATCAATACAACGATTAATGAAACATGATACATTTGATTGCTATAGGGCACAGGTTGTGGGGTGGCCGCCAGTTCGATCCTTTCGGAGAAACACAATGGCTTCTAGCTTGACAAAGAACATTGAAGATGAAGAAGAGGGAAAACCAGAACCATGTGGTTGTCTTTATGTAAAAGTTAGTATGGATGGTGTTCCATATCTCAGAAAGGTTGATCTCAGAATGTACACCAACTATATGCAACTTTCTTCATCTCTTGAGCAAATGTTCAACTGTTTCACCATTGGTATACTCCCCTCTTCTTTCTATCTCCGCTCTGCTTTAAGCCAACTATGCCAGATATAAGCTTCAAGTGTTTATTTGAAGTTTTTCCAATTAAAGAAAGAAAGAAAAACTTACCAAGTTGCATCTTTACTATTTTTTTGTTTTGGGGTTTTGTAAAACTAGGTGAATGCAATTCTGGTGGATTTGCTGGGAAAGATGGTCTGAATGAGAGCAGATTGAAGGATCTTCTTCATGTGTGTGATTATGTTGTTACGTATGAAGACAGAGATGGAGATTGGATGCTTGTTGGCGATGTCCCATGGGAGTAAGTTCTGTCTGATCCATTCATTCTGAAATCTGCGGAATCCTCTAATATTACAAGTTACTGAGAATTAATGCCATTCATCCAATCACACAATAGCTTTTCCAATGGGTTTGACTTGAATAAAGCGTGACTGGTTTCGCCTCTTAAAGTAAAATTTCTTGATTTGTAAATGAGTCAAGAAAACCCAAAGACAATTTTTGTCTCTAACCCAAATTTTCTTACCTACTTTGCAATCATTTTACCACAGGATGTTCCCTGAATCATGTAGGAGACTGAGGATCATGAAAGGTTCTGAAGCAATTGGGCTAGGTATTGATTTTAATTGAACTTATTTTCTCTCATTGCTTCAATCTTTGAAGTGACTTGTAAGAATTTGCCTTTGATTTAACTGTGTTAATTAATTGCACTTGCAGCTCCCAGGGCCATGGAAAAATGCAGGAGCCACAAAAACTGCAGAAGAACCAATTAGACTATTAAAAGAGGAGCATTTTGAGTTTTGGGTTCTTGTTGATCCAAATCATCACATGATATAAAAATCCATTGTTTTTTATTTTTTTTTTGGGGATGCACCATCTATGGACTGACTTTACAAAGTTGTTCCATCAATTTCTTGACGGCAAACGTCCTTAATTAGATAGTAGTATATTAATATATACACACCTTGTTTGTTAATCTATTTTGTTTTTTATGTTGGTTGGATTCATGTTACTGTTATAAAAGAGTTGCTTTTCGTGTAATCCTCCAAATGTTGTTCTTTATAAGTTGTTTCTACGCTTTGTTCTTAATCATGAACAGTTGAACACTAATCACATGTTATTATAGATGTGTTTTAATTATTCTCATCATCGTCATGTTTGGTTTTTAAATAATTAGACAACTCATGGTTCTAGAGAATATAGTTTGTCAAAAGACTAAAATTAGTATGTCAAAAGATGAGTGCGTTTTCAAAGAACAGGAAGGAGCTATTGCAAAGAGTAGAGAAAAAGGAATCAATCTCGACTTGTTATAAATTATTCAAATATGTTGAAATTAAATTATGCTATTACTATTTGCTAAGGAAATTTATGTTTTGTAGTTACTATTTACTTGTAACTAGATATTGAACTTGTTTTAAGATGGGCCGTCACACTATTTATTGCTTATATATAATATATCTTTCGATAGATTATATTAGTTTTTTTAGAGGTTTTTTATTTTATTATTGTAGTTTTATTTGAACTTTGTTATGTATAGGGTGATGGTTTTATTTTGTCACATGTCTATAACTTATCTCGCTTATTAGTGGAATAATCTCTTCTTAGAGAAACTATTTGTTATACTTCTGATTTTATTCATTAATCATTTTCAATGTGTTTTACTAAAAAAAAAAGCTTTGAAATTTATTAACTTTTATAAATTTTTAATTTTATTCCTATTAAATATATTTATTTTAATGATGTACTTTATCCCTCAAATATTCAATGGAGGTGAAAAAAAAACTTATAATTTGAAAATAAATGACATGTTTTATGAATAGGACAATAAAAGTTCTTTTTTTGTCTGTCTTATGAATAAAACCGGCAAAAACAATTGTTTTGGAAACAAAATTCAACTAGACATAAATTAGACCCAAAAGAGAGAAAACCAATAGCTAGGGTATGGATTCTCTCCTCTGCCTCTCCTCTTCCTCTCCTCTTCTTAATTTCTAAGCATTAGATCAATATGTTAGATAATTTAGATATGATTTCCTTCAAAATATTTCACTTATTTTTACTGTATTTTTAAATTATTTTTATTAAATTTTAGTGGTTTGACATGGAATTTTGTTATTTATATTTTTATAATTTAAAATTTTAATAATAACTTTATAAAGATTAAATTTAAACTGTCCAAATTTTGATCTAATGGTTAGAAAGAGAAAAGAATGAAAGATGATGGGAAAAAAGGAAGAGGAGAGAATTTACACCCCAATAATTGATTGAAGTAATTATAAAAAGTAATTTACAGAGAAGATAAATTCCAAATTCGGCAGTAAACTAAAGAAAGAAATCACTCGTGAGTCGTGATGGAGTGGCAAGCCATGATTTTGCAGGTAGAATTATTGCGAGGCGTGGGTTGGAGTTGCAGAAGCATGACGACGAGAATCTCTTATTCTCCGAACCAAACGGCCAATGAAGAAACAGAGCAAACGAAAGCAGCAAAGTATTGCTATGACGATCAACGTGGATATAAGATATCCCACTACCGAATTAGAACGCCTGCATCCAAACACAGCTCCCAAACATACCATGCCTACTTGTTTGATGATTGCCAAACACAGACACAGTTCAGGGGCCTCTGTTTGGGTTCCTTCGTCGTCCTTGAAATTTATGTATGTATGGATATGGGAAAAAGGCTTTCTGAAATTCTTGTCTTCTATTTGAACTGTTTGGTCCCTTGTTTGTCAAATAAGGAATAAATGAATCTGTGCTTCGCATTGCATCAAACTTTCCTTTCAAGCTATTCCCTTGTTTTTTAATAAAAAAACATTTTGTATCCAAACCCGACAGCTCCAACTAATTCAAATTCGAGCATTATAAGGTGTTAAATGAATGGCTCTCCCAAACATATTTTCTCTATTTCCATCACCTTAGGAATCAAACTCAAGAGCTGATTGTTAAGAAAACTTAAATTTTTTGCCATATGAGTCAATATAAATTGCTTCAAGCTATTCCTTTTATTCCATGTACCATTTTGCCACTTGTGGAGTTCGTGTATAAAGAAATATAATTTTAGCCTTTAATTTTTTTCACTATCAATTCAATTCTTAAATTTGACTCAAAATAATTTAATTTATATAATTTTTATTCTAAACAATTATTTTTTTATAATTTTCTTTCGTATAACTTTTTTTTTTAATTCCTTGACTCAATAAATTTTAAAGAGTAAATCACATTAAATTACAATTTAAAGACTAGATTGATAGGTAAAAAAAAATTAAAAGTAAAAGTTACGCTGGCCCTTTTATACTATTCTCGGTTTTTGGGTTAAGATCAATGAAGAAATTGAATTTCATTTTGGCTGTTGACTTTTATTGCTTTTTTTTTTATTTTTTATTATATTATATATTATTTTTTGGTTGCCATCTCAAAAATATGCTTAATCTGCCAAATGTAAGTGGATTCACGGACCCTGGAGGCAGTGTGTTTTTTCACTTGTTTGATTCAGTACAGATGATTTAGATGTGTCTGTTAAAAAAAAAATTCAGGGTTGATCGCGTAATTTAAGGAACATGTCATCGTCGCCGAGCACTACCCCTACTCACCGTCATCCTCACCTCTCCACAGCCATGTTGTTGGACAGAGCATTGTCTGCCCGGCGCGGCTCCACTTTCAGCGACGACGAAGACGACGCCGCCACCGACGACGAATCCAAGACCAAGAAACATCAGCACTTCTTTTTCCACGCCACCAATCGGGGTTCCCATTGCCTCTCACGAATCGGCTCTGGTGCTTACTGTGTCTGTGCCGTTGCGTCTCTTGTCGTCCTCTTCTTACTCTCCTCCTTCCTCTTTACTTCTCGAGGCTTCGTCTGCATCTCATCCTCCTATAGCCCTGTGTCTCGTGCTGGCTTCTTCGGGTTTGACGGTCTTGAATCCGATTTTGGAGCCCTCGGCGTGCCCTGGTGTGAGTATCTCTGTGCATCTGATTTGATCTGTTTAATTTAGCAATGCTGAATGTTATTTTCAGATTTAAGGGTTTGTGTTATTCGCATTTTTTTTTTAAATTTTTATTTGGATCGGGGAAAACCACTAGCTTTCGAATTTATTGTAAATCGGCCTTCATTATTTTTGGATAATGAGTTATTGGCGTTGCATTTCTGGCGTCTGATTAGCTATGAGTAGCTCTTTGGGGTTTACAGTTCAGGCTTGGCTTTGGTTGAAGGAGCATTGGACTTCCGTGAAAAGCTTGAGGAAAGTAAATATTAAGCATTTAAATGATAGTAGTTTGAGTGTGTGCGCAGGCGTTTTGAGAAGAAATTTAGGTGTAAATTTGTGAATTACTTTTGTTCTGCTCTGCATTTACTACAATAAGATTCTAAGGAAACTGTGGCTCCAACATTCATGGCTAATCAATACAGACATTTGGAGTTGGGAGTAACAGGATGATTCATAATTACTTGTATATTTCTTGTTAATCACATATCCTTACTGAAGTCTGAACTTGCACTTTGTCGTGGATAAATGGAGAGCAAATTCAATTATATTTTGAACATAAAATGCAAGTCATGAAATGACAATTTGATTTCCTTTTGTTTTGAGACAATTAAGTACATTCAGTTTAATCTTGTTGGACACTTATACTCTTATTCTTGGTAAAGGCAGAACGAAACATGGTAAAATGGTGGAGTGGACGTCAAAAGATCTGCTCAAGGGATTGGAAGAATTTGTTCCTATATATGAAACCCGACCAATAAAAAACAACATGTATGGGATGGGTTTTGATCACAGCTTTGGGCTTTGGTTCATAGCTCAGTGGCTGAAGCCAGATCTGATGATTGAGAGTGGTGCTTTTAAGGGACATTCAACTTGGGTTTTGCGGCAGGCTATGCCTGATACACCAATTATCTCTATAACACCAAGGCATCCAGAGAAGTATCTCAAAAAGGGGCCTGCTTATGTTGATGGGAACTGCACATATTACGCTGGCAAGGACTTTGTAGATTTTGGAAATATTGACTGGTCAAAAGCAATGAAGAAACATGGAATTAGCAACCTTAGTCGGGTTCTCATATTTTTTGATGATCATCAGAATGAATTGAAAAGGTAATTTCTGGATCCTGAAGGATGCTTCATTGATCATTATTGCTGCTAAATTTGCTATTGCTTAATATTCTTATTCTATTTTAAATTTTATGGTGGGCAGAATTAAGCAAGCTCTAAAAGCTGGGTTTCGGCATCTTGTTTTTGAGGATAACTATGACACTGGAACTGGAGACCATTATTCACTGAGGCAGATATGTGATCAATCCTATATAAGTGGTTTGTAAACTGCCCTTTTTGTATTCGTTTATTGTATTGTACTCCATGTTCTTTCAATCTTTCTATCAAAGTAGTGAATTCATGCAATTCAGTCTCCAGTGAAGTATTTTCTATTATTATGTTCCACTTCCTGTTGAGATTGATTTGTCTGAATGACTGATATTTGATGAACTTGGCTGAGAGGAACAGAATCTTAACGAAGTTGAAATTTTAACAATTTTTGTTTGTTCTTTAATTGATGTAGGAGGGGGGCACAGCTGCTATAGGGATAGCGATGAAGCTAGGCTCAGGTCAAGAAGGAAGAAATTCTGGGAGAAAGCTGTTGACATTGAAGAACTTTGTGGACCAGGAGATCAATGGTGGGGAGTTAGAGGCTACATGCGAGATAACTTTAATCATAGTAATAAGCCGATTTCATATGCAGAACATTTCGAGAACAGCAGGTTTGTGGAATCAATCCTTGATGTTTACTGGGAACTCCCTCCAGTTGCTGGTCCTTCACTCACTCATCAAACCAGATATGATCCTGCCCGTGCAACGAGTCCTATAATTGAAGATGGGCGCTATGGTTTGTTTCAAAGACTTGGTTTGTCCAGACTCGACAATAGTATATTTAATGGGTACACTCAGATGGTTTATTTACAGATATCTGAAGAATCTAGATAAGTTTACGAGGAAATTTTATGATGTATTTTGTATGAATTGTTGCTTCAGCTGATTAAGGCTTGATATGTAGTGTTTTCCCCCTACGTTAATTCTTCGCCGACTGACCTTGTCTTCTATATCTGGTTTAGTAGCTCACTGACTTGTTAATTTTTCCGGCTAAAAAAAAAAAAGGGAAAAACCTTATCCCTTTTTTTTTTTTGTACAGAATTGAATGCCGGTGGACGGTTGTTTAACTAACATTGCTTCCTTTATTTAATTCATATGAAGTTCTGTCAACAAAAAGCCTTTGGTCGCTTGCATCATCTTGGAAATTTAACTACGGGGAGCATGCCACAGGGCACAAGTATAGAAAGGGTTGGTCCATAAATTAAATCGCACTTGAAAAGGATAATTCTATAACCAGGTTTTGCGTCAATGGTGCAATTATGACCACTTGTTCGGCCATTTTATGAACGTAACTTGGGGCAGCTTGTTACAATAAATGTAAATCTCAAGTTATCATGTCATCAGGTAATTCAGAAGACAGTAGGGTCCTCTTTTCACATTTCTTCGAAAAAAGACCTTTCATCATCCTTAAGATGGGCTTACTAGTTGATCAATGCCATTTCGGGAGTGCATTTCCTCTTCAAATGACCGGTCACAGTCACCCACTTTATATTCTATATCCTTTATTAATTCTTTGAAATTTGAAGGATGGGCCCAACACAATATCTCTGGAATAGTCTTCCAATCAACAGGGCAATTAACATTCCTAGTTTGTACGTTTGTATTGTCTTACTCCCTCAAAGTTCCATTTATAAAACGGATAGAGAACGAATTTTTTTATTCTATTTATATGCAATGTCACCAATTTTTTATTACAAGTTTCCCTTTTATCCTCCATTATTTATAGAAAAAAATATATTATTGAAATATATAGATTTTAATAAGGGCAAAATTAAGATTTTCTTTTTCAAGTAAAATGAATGAGTTTTAATGTTTTTTTTATTTTAATAAAGCAGTTTGAAAATGACTTATAGTATTATTATTTACTATTCACATATTTTCATCTTATGAATCAATCCACAAGCAATTCTCATTTTTCAAGATCATCATCACAACTGGTTTGATGTTTGTTTTACGCATCTCTTGACCTCGGAAGAAGTTCCACTTGTTTATTTTGTCCTATACTGAGAGGCCATAGAAGCGGTTCTGCATCGAGTGCATTAACACTAAATCACTCTTGCCGTATTAGCAATATTGCTATGATGCGTGAATCCATTTATTAACTTCACAGCCATATCATCAAACTTATTACCGTGAGTATCTGCAACGTTCTTGCATGAAATAAGTGCAAAAAGTTAAGATTAAAGTAAGGATAGCAATGGCCCACGTGGAAGCCATGGGAACTAGCAGTAATCTTCATTGCTTATTAAACCATTCAGCAGTGTACAGCATCTGCTATAATACCACACGTCATCATAACCCGCTTCCACCACCACTTTTAATTTCATAACCATCGAGCTTCATTCATAACCAACACCACCACTTTCTAATAATCTTTTGGCACTGAAAAACAAGAAGACGACAAGATCAACGGCCTCAATGGACTCCTCCAACTCAACAGATGATCCCACCCCATCCTTTTCTTTTAGAAGCACAACTCAGAACACCTTCTTGAGAAGCCATTCCACAAAAGAGCCTCCTTTCTCAGGTTTCCTTCACTCGCCGCCTCGCCTTTCGTGTCCTACGCTTTCCCGAAGCCTCCAAGCCTCCCCTCTTTCCTCTCCTCTCCATCCTCATGCCACAAAGCTCTCTGATTCTGATGAACCCCAAACCAGATACCACTGTGCCTCCTCTGTTCTCAGAAAAGATGGTCAGATCCTGTCCATTTCCTTGTCAAATGGGTTGGTCTACACTGGTTCAGATTCAAATGTTATTAGGGTCTGGAAGCTTCCTGAATTCACAGAGTGTGGACAGCTCAGAACAAAGGCTTGCAGGGTGGTGGCAATAGAGGTGTCCAATGATACAGTTTATGCAGCCTATGGGGATGGAAAGATTAGGCTTTGGAGAAGAACACGGGATAGAGTTTTGAAGCATGTCCGTTTCGGAACTATCCCAAAGAAATCTAGTTCCGTGCGGAGTTACATCCTCGGCAGAGACAAGACAGTAAGTTTAACACACTTTGTTTTCTCTAACTAGGTTTAGCTTTTGCATTTATGGCTTGGTGAAATTGTTGCTGTTGGGTGTTGGAACCCTTTATGTGCTTCTTTATGAGAGCAGATATAAGTGGGCATGCATTCAGGCTCAAGAGTTAAGAGGAATAGAGTTGTTACCTTTTTAGCATGGTTTGATAAAGTTAAACCATCACTTCCACCATGATAGGTATAACAATATATGAAAAATACTCCAATTTTAAACCACATTTTAGATTAACTCTATTCCTTATATATAAATTGAAAAACATATGGATGGAGATCTTTTCAAACACGTTTGGTTTCACGGCCAGAACTGTCAGAACCATAATTTTGATGGTTTCTAACATTAAACCAAACATATACAGTCTCTGATACTTTCCTGCATTAATGTAGACATCTCCTACATACTTACATATGTGAACTAGTTTATTTTGTCCTCTTTCTTTTGTACGGTCTTCATACCATACCCTTGTGCATTAAAAAATAAAATAAAATGAAGGACCTTTGACTAATCCTCCCGTTGTTGACTTTTGGATTTTGATAATAATAGTGCCTTTATAAATGAAGAATACTTTCTTTCTTTTTTCTCTTTTCACTTCCCATCTCTATTCTTTGATGAAATTTGAAAGGTTTTTATTAATATTTCGGTGAGTTAGTTTCTTTTCACATTTTCCTTACTACAGTTCCAAAATGTTTAGATAAATTGTTAATAATTTATATTTATTTATTTTATCCAAACAATATCCCTATAACTTGCCCATGTGCTCTTCATATCTGGTCATGAATCCATGATGAAAAGATTATAAGATCAGATTTACAGCATAAGAAAAGGATAAAAAATATATAAATTTGTCACATGTAATTTTCACATTATGTTTAAGTACATTGATATCATTTACATGTTACAGATGAAGCATAAGGGGCAAATCACGTCAATGGCAATCAACACGGCAGAGGACATAATATACACAGCTTCAATTGATAAAACAGTGAAAGTATGGCGAATCCCAGAACTTAAATGCATTGAGACAATAAAAGCACACCTTGAGCCCATCAACGTCGTCATCGTGGGTGACGATGGAGTTCTCTACACAGCCTCCGACGACGCCACAGTCAGGGTTTGGAGGCGAAATTTTTGCAGCCATGACAAGCCCCATTCCCTCACAGTAACCCTGCACGCAAAGTCCTCCCCAGTAAAAGCATTGGCTCTAACCTCCGACGGAGGTGTGCTGTATGGTGGCTGCTCCGATGGCTACATCCATTTCTGGCTAAAGGGTTGGTTCGCCGGCCAACTCCAATATGGCGGTTCAATCCAAGGCCACACACACGCAGTGCTATGCCTAGCCAGTGTGGCAAACTATGTAGTTAGTGGTTCAGCAGATTCAACAAGCAGGATATGGGAAAGAGAGCAAGATGGTCAACACACTTGTGTAGCAGTTCTGGTAGGTCATAGGGGACCAGTAAGGTGTATAGCAGCTCTTTTAGGAGAAAGATTTGGAGAAGATAGTGAGGATACTTGTAGGGTTTGTACTGGAAGCCTTGATGGAGTCTTGAAGCATTGGCGTGTCGCAAAAACCAACAAGTGGGATAGCAATCAATGTTCGTCACAAGATGATGGCGGCAAGTATTTCGAACTTTGAAAGAGTTTCATAACTACACTATAGAAACTGGCAAAGGCCATGATCTTTCCGAAAATAATTACCAATATCTTATATTGTAATCCAGAAGAGTATCCTAAGGTAGCACGACCAAACATATACCCATAAAATCAAGACGATCAAGTTTCATGCAGCCATAAGCGATCACGAAACTTAATGTACTTTGAGCTCCTAATTTTGCCATCAATAGAGATCTATAATAGAAGAGATTCTTCCAGCAAAGTCAACCTCAGACCCTTGTTATTTTTTGGCTTGAAACCTCAGACATGTTCACATATCCAATTATGGTTGATTTGGTATATTTTGCGTGAACCAATCATGACATCTGTTCTGATTGTCGAAGAAATTTCTTATAAAAAGAATCTCTATTCATGGTGCTTTTGTAATTCAATGAAGGGGAAGTCATTAAACCACTTAAAAGACTACTTGTATTTTGATGTTTGATATTTGTTCTTATTAATAATAATATAAAAGTTCATAATCAATCTTTCTTTGGGTAAATTATAAAATTCTATCAATCACCATACCAAATACCCGAATGTTTGTAAAGGGAAACTAACCAATGGTCACACTACCTCCTAGGAAGGTTTCATGCTATTTGCTCATCCCAATAAAACTCAACCTACTAAAACAAAGAAACCAAAATTGCCAAGAAAGTTCTATTCCTACAAAATTTTACTGATTGAGAAACTCTCTTTTAGCATGAGTTACCTTGCCATGTGTTACGGGATTGCGTCCTACTCATAAGACTAACGCATCAGAAATAAAATTGTGTGAACCCACCATTCACTAATAATATTACCTCTTGAGAACATAGCATGCCACGGAGCTTCATCGCTGAACCTGAATTGCTACCCAAAATGGCATTAAGTGAAATTTTGGCACCTTCAAGCTCTGTTTCTTCATTCTTGGCATCTTCAAGGGAAGGCATTATCTCCTCTCCTTCATTTGTAATTTCCAGTAGTGTGAAAGATCCTTTACAACGATGCCTAGGTCTAAAAACTTCACCACAACGAAAGCAAAGATCCTTCTCCCTACTTCTTTGGTGGTCGATGTCCGTGGAAGATGGCCTGGCTAAATTTGAACTTGCTAGTTTGCATGAAGAAGATGATGTCGCATACGCTTGGGGCTTGCACATGCTAGAAGACGTGTGCAAAAATTCTATTTGTCGTCTCTAGTTCTGGTCATGTGTAAAGGAGGATGGGGAATTAGTGAACTGAGTTTGGTTCTGAACCGGGTTGGGCTTGGCCCATGAGCACTCATCTTCCCTTCAAATTCCAGGGCAAGACTCATTGCCCGATATACACTTCTTGGCTTGTGAATACGTACATCGAAACACAACTCTTCTTTCAGACCCCTTAGTAAAACGCCAAGGAGATAGCATTCCAGGCAATTTTTCACTTTGGCTGATCGCTTTGCAAATTCTTGATGGTATTCTTGCACAATGCCAGTTTGTTTGATGCTGTAGAGGTGTTCATCTGGATTTTGTTATTTGGGTGGACCACAGTTCTCTTGCAGCGCCCTTTCCAATATAACAAGGTACGTTCAGAACGTATCCATGAGAACAAGTCCAATGCATCTCCCTCTAAGACATTGAGGCTACATTGACCTTTGATTCCTCCGGTGTATGCTAGTACTGAGAGTATTTTTTAGCCTTAAGATTCCATCCTTGAGGTCTCCTCCGTCGAATTTGGGAAATTTAATTTTGGGTTGAGGTAGACAAGGGCCCCTCTTCTAAAAATCTAATTCTTCTTCACTTTCTTCTTCCCAATTAAGTCGTCTTCGCTAGCCATATGGCGTCCTTCTATTTCTGCGCATGGTAAAGGCCTCTAATGTCTATACTTTTTTCTTGTAATAAGTCAAGCTTCTCAAGTTTTGAAGCAATAATAGCAAAATAGTCGAGTGCAGTCAGGCTTGTATTTTCTAGGTTTTTTATATCTGATGGCGTGTTGCTGGATGAGGTGACAAGAGGTTAGATAGTTTCATTCCCAATAACCTAGCTTTGATGCTAAATTGTAAGGGCTCAAAATAACAAAAGGAAATAAGAGGAATAAATATATTAAGATGATATGAAATAAAAACTTATTTTATATTTCTCTTAATAATCACGCTTAAAATAATTTTCAAAAGATTTAAAAGACTATTTCACTGAAAATATGCTAGTTTCTAAATTGCTAGTCATATTTATAATCAAATACAATCCAAAATACAACATTAAATCTAGACAACTAGATAATTAAATAAAAACTGAATAACCTGTGAATAAAACACTGAATAAAGTCTAAATAAAATTTAAACAACTAAATATTTAAATAAATTCTCCTGAAATTTACCCTAAATAATTCAAAATTCAAATCAAATAATAATAATAATAATAATAAAATCAATCTTAATTTATCTTTTGTCACTTCTTTCTTAAATAAGTCTTCAATAAATTCTTATCTGGAAACTTAACACCATGACAATGACCTTCCAGTTGAATCTGTTGAAATAGCACACTCAAAGTATATACGTTGAGCAGCCTCAGATATCTCCTTGCACAGCACACAGTTTACATCTATCAGATCTAAATTAAGATGATCGAGTCACCAATCTTTTTTCAGCAGTTGGGCTGACCGTAAATGATCCAATGACCAATGTCAAAACATTGTGGTCTCCTCGGTGAGTGTAACCAACACCAATAACTTCAAAGAATGCACTCATTAAGAAGCTGTAGTTACAACATCTACTACATCAGACTCATCAACAATCATTTCGTCTCTGAAAAGCAATTTCAAATACGGAAGAACCCTAGGAAGCACAGGCAAATCTGCTATATTGATGCTCATCATGTCAAATGCAATGCAAGTTTTATGCATGTGTGCTTCATCAAATACAGGAATTTTTGGGTATCTTTGGCTGAAGTGAGTAAGCACAATACGGTATGCATTAGCCGAGTCTCCCACTTCCACGGCTTCTTTTGTGGTGCTGTGGTTCCTTGATATAGCCTCCTCCAACAAAGCATCCTCAAAAGTTGCCTGCAGCAATAAGCGTATCATAAGCAAACATCTGACACAAAATTCATAGGCACGATCTATAAAAGATAAGATAAATTAAACCTCATCACAAAAATATACATGCAAATCAAAGGTGGACCCTATTAAAAATTTAAAAGTGCTTAAAATGAAATTATTGTCAGATAATAACCATATTCTTAGAATCAATTCACTACAGTAGAAATGACTTAAATGGTGCTGAACAAGCCTGTTCCCGTCATATAAATAAAAGTTTTCCCCTTTTACATAACAACAATAACCGAACTACAAATTGAAGTAAGAAAAAGATAAGCTCCGAGTCTGAAAATTGTAACTAGGCAACAAAAGCTATAGCTTCACAACTAAAGGCCAAAAGTTAAATCACTTGGATGCCTCCCATTAGTTTTATAAATAATTAGCCTACTCAAATGAAAACTGCAGGATTTTAAGCTTATATGCTGCCACTGGACCAGCAAATATATATAGCATGGTCAAGATTATTGAGAGATAAATGCTTGCCAGCAAACCCCTTTCTTTGCGATTACTACTTGGAGAAGGCCACTGCCGATATCATTTTCTCAATCAAAAGCACTAAATGCAACACTTCCTTCCATCTCATAGTCTATAAGATGATAGACTTACCTCATGTATAAGAATTGTAGCACCACGAGATGCTTCTACTAACTCAGGGCAGGGTCTGGTGTCCCCAGAATACACAATCTTCCAACCAGGTATCACTTTTCCTAAACTATTAACCCTCTCTGCAGCTTTCAGAACAACACCAAATGCCTGAGGACAATGAACAACAGGGAAACTAATCAAAGATTCCAGACCAGCTTCCTGCATAACCCTCTTCAATTTCTTTAGGACAGGATAAACCACATTCTTGTCAATTGGACTATCTGGTCTTTTAAAATAGCTTTGCATACGAGATCCTTTGGCAAACAAAGTTGAATCAATTTTTGGTACAGTCATTTGACTATCATTTTTATCTGGTTCACCATCTTCATAAGCTTCCAATGCAGCAACTGTGGTGTGCCTGCAGTCAAGAAACTGCATATCTAAATTTTCAAGTCTATGATATGCGTCCAAATATCTCTTAAGCTGCCTTGGTCCGACAACAAGCAGTGGTTCATGAGGAAACCCCTTCAACAAATCACGCCGCAAAGCCAATATCCTGGCCAAGCCAGTATGGTGATCTGCATGTATATGAGAAATCCAAATACATTTTAAAGCTCTCACTGCATCATCAGCACCATCTACACCATATCTGTTTTCAAGGGATATCCCCCAACAGGTATCACACAATTAGATTGAATCTGCAAACAAGTACAGTATTATAAACGAATTTAGAAAGGGTTCAGACTCACCTTCTTTTTAGCTGTCCCAATGTTCCTTCTCCACAATCCAAAAGTAAGCCCCCTTTTGAAAAAAGATTTATATATATTGAGCTCACATTTCGATATTTGGATGGTTGGGATGAACCTGTTCCAAGAAGAACTATCTCCAAGTCATCTCTTCTTATATTTTCTAAACAACTTGGAACACCATCTGCACAAAGCCATGGCTCTTCAACCAACATCTTATGATCTCCTATAGGAATATTATCCTTTGTTTGACTGGACTTCAAACAGAGTTGGCTTACATGTTGGGCTGCATCAACAACCTCTGGAATTTCTAAGAGTAACTCTTCGATGATTTCTGAGGTACGCACTGTAGTTGGAACCAGAGATCTATCCAACCCAAGCTGAGCATAAGGACGCAAAGTGAACTGTAAAAGATACAGTAACATTTATCAAACATATGTTGGAAGAAGCCTCCTATTTGTTCATCATGGCATCAAATGTGGCATGACCTTAGAGATATATGACAAGAAGAAAAAAAGGCAAACCAGAAGATTAAGAAGATCAAATTAAAAATTATCATCGAAAGGAAATTGAACCACCATGCATTGAGAATGGAAGTATTGAGCCTTAATATTTGC